TAATTTCAGCTGACCTTACTGATGATGGAGTGTGTCGCAACTTGTTGCCTCCCAGGAGAACTTGGGTCTTTGCTTTACTATTCAATTACTGTCTATGTTCTTCTGGAATCTAATGCTGATTTGATTTTAGAGGGGAAAAGATGGCTCACTAAAGAGATTTCATATTAATTTTGAGCCTTTTTTGCAAATGAGCAGCTCACTTGAAGTATGAGGGTTTGTAGCTTGGAGTCAAGTACAATTATCAAGATGACAGTATTAGAAAGTTTTAAGACTTAAAATGGTTTAAACAGGGAGGCTTTCTTTTTAAAGATGACTATTATTATGTGTTCATAGCATTGGTTATGGGGATATTTTCAATTTTATAGCATTAATTTCTCTATGTTCTTATTAATTTGTTTACAAAAATCTCTTACACAGGCATCAGCGAGCTGTGATGGTTCTGTCAGAGTGTGGAAAATAGCAGATCAGGTAAAAGACTTGCCTTTCAGAGTTCAGTCTTTCATAAGATATCCAAGATTTCACAGACAGCAAGAAGAGATGGACTGAAATGACTTTGTTGGAATAGGGTTTTCTTTTTGGGGAAGAAATCTAACTACACTTTAGAGTAACAGAATACTTTTATCTATTTAGGGGAGAAATTCCAAAACCTGATTATGAAAGGTTGCCTGGCTAGCTGTGGATTATTCTTCCTGTCTGTGGAATCCCTGATTTTTTCTGTTCATCTTTCTTCATTGGCCAACATTGTGTATTTTGCCCTCAGCACATGCAGGAATAACACTTCTGTGTAAAGATATTGACATCAGATTCATCATTTCAGATTTTCAGCTCATTGCTTTCAGGGTTAAGGAAGTATTTTTATTCTAATGAACAACTATGTAGGTATATTTTGGTTTTATTTATTTTTACCAAGCTTCCTATGAAACAATAAATAATTTTCAGGGTTGTAGACTGACTGGTGAAGGTGGAATAATGCTCTGAGATGCTACACAGTATCTTCTGGGACAGGCTGCCCAGAGAGGGGGTGGAGTCTCCATCTCTGGAGGTGTTCAAACCCACCTGGATGTTTTCCTGTGCAACCTGCTGTAAGGAACCTGCTTTAGCAGGGGGGTTGGACTGGATGATCTCCTGAGGTCCCTTCCAACCCCCACCAGTCTGTGATTCTTTTATAAGTGATCTGGTTGGTTAATCTCGTTAGGAACACAATTACTTTGATTTAGGATTAGGAAGCAATATGGATTTCATGTGCCAGGATCACTGAGATGATGCCCATGATGATGACCTTTTTCTTTGATAGGGGACTTAGGAACACAGTGTAGCTTCAGCATCTCCTGCTCTCCACCTATGGCACACATACTTGGTTTTCTAAGGACTTGGAAGTTCAACTCAGTGCATTTCAGCCTTTTAGATTTGAATGATTTTAAGGCTATTGATAGGGGACTTGCTATTCCACTTTTTGTTTGTTTGTTACAAACTTCACAAGAGTTTCTCAGAAGAAGGATGTAAATCACAGTTTGAAGAACATAATTCATTAGAAATACAGTCTTCGTGCTCAGCTTGGCAATATTTGGCTGAAATAGTTCAGGGCAAGAGATCAGATTTAGTGAGAGAATCAGATTTAGTCTCTGCTCGTGGAACTCTAACGAATTTGAAAATAGGGTTTCAGGTGGATGTTTTAATAAGGCAATTCTGCATATGTCTGTGTGATTATTTTTCCTAAATGCAATTGAGTGAAACAAGAGTCTATGTTGAATTATTCCTGCAAGCACAGTTGAAAATGTGCCCCTGCACTTGTGGATTGCTATTTTTTAAAACAAAAGCATACTTCTAATGCAAAATCTCATGTCCCAGACTGACAGTGGGTGCCTTTGGGGGCAATTACACTAACAGTGTCCTGGGACTGTGGCAGTATGATGTATGTATCTGTGCTGTAATTTGAGGATATAGCCATTCATTCTTTATCCTGCTGTGGTGAGATTCAGGCGGATGTGTGTCACCTTGCTGCAGTTGATTTGGGTTTGAGAAATGCATTTGGCCAGACTTCTCTGTAACCTAAAAATATGTGAGCTCATTTGTTCTGTACTTGATTAGAAACACTTGTTCTATGATCTTATTTCTGTTAGAAGTAGTTGTACTTTCATTAAAATAGTTTCAGGTCCATATTGGCAAGACATTTTTTCTGATTTTATTTTTTTTAAGGCAGTAGGTACTGTTGTATTTGGATGAAAGAGATTATTAAGTTCCAAAAATGATGTGTTTAAGTTCCAAAAACCAAAAGGTTCCAAAAATTTTTCCTTTTCATTTTTTTCCACACTTTTCCTTTAAGAATTTGTACTATGCAGTAGATTTTCACAGAGCAAGAAAACTCATTTGTTTAATATTTTGTTTTCAGACATGCACGACAAGCTGGCCACTGCTGCAGAAATGTAATGATGTGATAAATGCTAAATCAATATGCAGGCTTGGCTGGCAACCTGGCAGTGGGAAGGTAAGTGACATTGTTTTAGCCACATCTTAATTTTTCTTTTCTTTTTGGGAGTTCAACAGTAGAATTCAATCTGGGTAAGCCCAAATTGCAACTCCTGGGACTAAAGAAAATATTTGGGGTGAAGTTCCCATTTAGGAAAAATAAAAACCTGGAAAATGATTACTTGCTTAAGCTCCAGGCTGTGTTTGGCAGTAGTCCATCTCTCAGCCCAAAACAACGTTAAACAGTCGTGTTGTGCTGAATAGGAAGGAATATTGTACACGAGGGATATGATCAAATTGCTCACAACAGAGCATCCAAGGAGTTCTGTCTTTCTCTACTTTAATTTTACCCTATTAGTAATCTTGCTCTGTAAATATTTCCTTAGTAAGTTGTTCCCTTTCTTGTAAGGCCCCACCTGGAATACTGCGTCCAGTTCTGGAGCCACCAACACAAGAGAGACATGGACCAGTTAGAACTAGTCCAGAGAAGGGCCACCAGGATGATCTGAGGGCTGGAGCAGCTCTGCTGTGAGGACAGGCTGAGAGAGTTGGGGCTGTTCAGCCTGGAGAAGAGAAGGCTCCAGGGAGATCTTATAGCGGCCTCCCAGTACCTGAAGGGGCTACAAGAAAGCTGGGGAAGGACTTTTCATAAGGACAACTAATGACAAAACAAGGGGAAATGGGTTTAAACTGAAAGAGGGGAGGTTTAGATGAGATATTAGGAAGAAGTTTTTCACTGTGAGGGTGGTGAGACACTGGAACAGGTTGCCCAAGGGAGTTGTAGATGCCCCCTCCCTGGAAGTGTTGAAGGCCAGGCTGGATGAGGCTTTGAACAACCTGGTCTAGTGGAAGGTGTCCCTGCTGCTGGCAGGGGGGTTGGGACTGGATGAGCTTTCAGGTCCCTTCCAACCCAAACCATTCTGTGATTCTATGATTCTGTTGTGACTAAAGGTGGTGCTGATAATAGAACATACTACAGGTGTCGCACATTGTGTGTGTCCTGCTGCAATAGAGCTACATATGGGTCACGAATCAGAAGGTTTGGGAGTTAGTACAGCTCTATACATGTCTCTGTAGCACGTAGCCTAGAACGTCTCTGCAGCATCTGATACTGCAAAGAGGAGAGGAGGAAGGAGCAGATAAATGTGAACCTGTGTGAAATGAGGCATGCCCTGCTACGCTTGAAGTAAAGGACAAGGGATTGAGAGAAAGTTGGAGATTTGGAAAAATTGTTCATAGAATCACAGAATGGTTTGGGACCTTAAAGTTCATCCAGTTCCAACCCCCCTGCCAGCAGCAGGGACACCTTCCACTAGACCAGGTTGCTCAAAGCCTCATCCAACCTGACCTTGAACACTTCCAGGTGTGTCAGAGCCTATTCGTCCTTTATTGACATTCCACTGTACTGGATCTAAAGAGTATTTCCCAGTGTTCCCTCACTGATTATTCAGTTCTTACCTGAATAATCTTCTGTTTCCCCAACTTAGCCTTTGTGTCTTGTCCACCTGTGTCCACTCTTCAGAATACCTGGCTGCTACGGTAGCATTACATATAACTTCTCTGTGGAAGATAGCATGTCACCTGCAGTACAAATTGTTTCAATATCCCTATTGCATATAAACAAATACATTCATTTTTAGGCTAATTCTTCACACATACTTGAAATGTAAGTAGTTGTCTCGCTTCTCTTACAAAGCAAATTGTTAGAAGTCTTGAAAAAAAACCAAATCCTAAAAAAATGAACAGGCAGTAACATTCATGTAGTTTTGTGAAAGATTAAATGAGCTATTTCAGGAATCAGCTATTCAAATAAGATTTATTGAGAAATTGTCACCTGGTCAAAAGAGTTTTGGGGAGGAAGGGAAAAGGAGAACAGAAGCCTTGTCCTCAGAGCACTGAACACTATTTTTATGTGTTTGTTAGCTTTGTTAGCTGTTTCATAAATGAGAACTACTAACCTTACGGTGCAGCTGTCATTGTCTTCAGTGTTCGGCCAGAAAAAAATGAAGATTAAAATAAAAACAGGCGTGTTTTGTTATGTTGCATGTGGAAAACATTAAAGAACCTTGTAACTTAAGTTACTTTATTTACTTTCTCAGTTGGCATCGTTAGGATGCTAGAGAACTGTTAATTACTGAGGCAGTCACAACTGTAATACTCCTGAATGAAGGAGCTATGCTCTTTGAATGTTCTCGTTGAAAGGTAACTGGTTTTAAATCGTCTGATTCTTGTTTCCTTTGAACAGTTGCTGGCAATTCCTGTAGATAAAGTTGTTAAACTGTACAGAAGAGAAACCTGGGATAGTCAATTCGATTTATCAGATACATTCATCGCACAGGTAGGTACATAGACCAGGTGCTTGATAAATATTCCATAATGTAAATGTTATTCTGCTAGAAATTATCTTCTGGACACTATATCTTTTTTTTGTTTTGGTTTTTTTCCTTTCCCCCACTTGGTAACAATTGCTTATATTTTCTATTTAATTTCTGATCCTGTTACTCTATTGGAAAACGAGGCAAGAGATACTAGATGAGTGTCAAACACATCTTTATGTGGCTCTGGTTCCCCTCTTTCATTTATAGTAATCCACTGGATCTCTAAGGTCTACTGGTGAGTCAGCAGCTGCAGCTGAACAACATCTGTTTTCACAAATGGCCCTAAATACATAGCTTTTTAGGGAAAATGCCAAGAGTATTATTTCTGTACAGAACAGAGAGACCAGTTGTTCACTTTATATTTTATTAAGCTGAAATTTAGCTACATAGTAGCCTTCATTGTGCCATCCTTTTTTCTTTTGACCTCACTTTATACTTGGAAACCTTTGGGTTAAAAAGGACCACTTTGCTAGTGTTACTGAGATACAGAACACACAGTCTTGGATTTTCATTTATGGAACTATATTAAGTTCAAAATAAATAAAGCTATGTTTAGTGCTGAGTTTGCAAAATATGTTTCTGTCTATGTGACTAGAATAGGGTTTTGTTCGACCTCATGGCAGCGTTTAGTGACAGAAGATGGATATTCCTGGAAAAAAATAAGTGTGCTATCTTTAAAGAATAATTCTTGCAGGGAACTACCTAAAGCAGCTCAGGAGGTTGGCTATGATTTGCTAAAGATCATTATTATTTTTTTGCTATTATTCCAGAATATGTCTGTTTTAAACTCCAGATTATGAATGCTGTGCATGCATTGGTCATTTTTATTTTTTTCTATTTTTTATTTTTTCCTTAGCCCTTGAATGTTGTGGCCTGGTCTCCTTGTGGGCAGTATCTGGCAGCTGGAAGTGTGGATGGGAGTATAGTGGTGTGGAATACGGAAACCCAGGAGTGCATAGAGAGGTATTCAGTGTTGTTCCATAAATCCCTAAGTATATGTTTGGGTTTTTTTTCTCTTGAAATATAATTTAGTTATCTTTTCTGCAAAACCTTTTTGTGCAAATGTAGAACTGAGCATCTTGAAAAACCTTAATAGGATATACAGGGCAAATCTTTAGGTTTTGTGCTGATGTTCCACTGAAAGATGGCACCCAGGAGACAGCATACAAAGCTATTGTTGGTCTATTCAACCAAGGCCCAAGGGACAGGACAAGAGGAAATGGCCTCAAGTTGTGCCCAGGGCAGTTGAGGTTGGATGTGAGGAAGAATTTCTTTGCTGCAAGGGTTCTGAGGCATTGGAAGGGGTTGCCCAGGGCAGTGGTGGAGTCTCCATCCCTGGAGGGATTGAAGAGTCGTGTAGACATAGTGCTGAGGGACATGGGTTAGTCATAGGGGACTTGTCAGTGTTGGGTTCATGGTTGGACTTGATGATCTTTTCCAATCCAGGCAATTCTGGGATTCTGTGAAGGTTCAGATCGAAGAATACCATTTACCTGGCCTCTTAGATGGTCTGTCAGCTGGTGATGGGGCTGGGAGCACTCCCACAGAGAGGGAGCCAAAGCACACAGGTCAAAAGAGAGCTACATTGGATCTGGGTGATGCTGGGAGGCAGGGCCACTGCTCTGTCTAGACTTGAGCAAGAGGAGGACTCTTCTCTTGTGCAACTCCAGTGGGGTGGACTAATATTCTTATGCAGAAGGGAATCCAAGGGCTGCCATATAATTTTACCAGGAAGCAGCTTCCACAAGAGTGTATCTCTTGGTGGTAGGTAGAAATGTGGCATTGTTTTGCCTTCCCCCACCATATCCAGTATGCATGTGGGGTTTGTTCCAATTCTATGGTCTATTTTTCTGTGTGCAAATATCTTTTATTAATAGTTGATTAAATGATAGTTTTGATTGAAAGAAATTTTCTTCACATCCCAAACCCCAAGATTATTGGCAGTAAGGTGTATTTTCTAAAGGGAGAGGGAAATACAGATACATCAGTCAGCCATCCTCATCTGGAGGCACAAAAGGATAAACTGACAAATTGTACCTTATCTTGGTTAGTTAAAACATGTCTCTTTCAAAAAAAGAAAATAAAAAAATATGACTAAGTGAGGCAGAGAAGGAATGATTTGTCTGTCTGAATATTTTGGGTAAGAAACATGATTGTTACTCTACCACCTGTATTAAGAATTAAAGGCAGATTATGTAAATAATTAATGGGAGGATTTATTTGTGGGACTAAAGGGTGGAAAAGATAGAGGGTTGACTCATCAGTTTGGTACAAGAGAAAAAACTGAATGTTCTTTTTATAACTGGGTGGTTCTGGAATGTGTGACTGCTGGGGAATTACTTTGTCTTTTCAACATGTATCAGGAACCTGTTTTAAGAATATGGTTCTGATTGATTTTTTTTGGGGTTTTTTTTAAAACAAATGATTTTTCTCGATAGAAAAGGAAGACCTGCTGTATTTTTTTACAGTAGCTGTTTATTCTAAAGGTGACCTATTATTTGTTTTATAACATGTAATGTCACTGTAATATCCCTTTCTAATACTAGTAAATGTTACCTCATTTTACAATAACTGTTGGGGAGGTTTCTGCCCTGAGAAGCTTACTAAAAATCCAGTATTTTTATATTCTTTGTAGGATGAAGCATGAGAAAAATTACACAATTTGTGGACTGGCATGGCACCCCAAATATAAGCAAATCGCTTATACAGATACTGAAGGAAATCTGGGATTGTTGGAAAATATCGGTGGTGAAACGAAATCAGATGACAAGGTGATCAGTACCAATTATTTCTTAAATTAACATGGTTATTTAGATTACCAAATTATAGTTAACATTCTGTTTTGTGTGTTGAAAGTTCCCTCTTGTGTGTTAATTCATTTCTTGAATTCCATATCCAAAAGAAGTTTTATGATGACTGTTAACCTGGTTTTAGGTTGCCAGTAAAGTGACTAAAGACTACAATGATCTCTTTGATGGGGAAGATGACGCCTATTTAAATGGAGATATGATTGAACCACAGTCTTCCCCAAAGGCTGGAGCCAATGAAGATGATGGTGATGATGATGATGACCTTATGCCAACTCCAGGCCATCTGAGACGGGCAATAATTGATGATGATGATAACTCACTAGGTACAGAATTAACTAATTTTCCAGGGTGCTTTAGTGCTGTTGTTGGGATGATCTCTGGCATCCTCTACTCAGATATATTTTGTCTTATTTTTCCAGAGAAATCTTGACTGTTTGGTTTGGGTTTTTTTTAAAACTATATTATCTCATAATAATGTGTAAAATATATATATTTTTTTTAAAAAACTTCTAGATATTGGGATGATAAAAGCTAGTTCTAATCTTCTTGACAAGGAAGATGATGATGATGATGATCAGACTGGTGGCTTTCCAGCTTTACCACCATCATCTACACAACAGCCTTTCTACAATGGGCCAATGCCAACCCCCAAGCAAAAGCCTTTCCAGTCTGGCTCCACTCCTGCACATCTCATGCATCGTTTCATGGTAAATCTTGCTGCTGTGAGGTTATATAGATCTGGTTGCTTTGATAATATTGTCCAGCTATTGCTGTGTCTTAATCTAATCTTTTCCAAGATTTTTTGTTTTTAAATACTTCAAAGTGTGAAGCTAAATAGTGGCAAACAGCTTTTGTGTTAATGCAAAGACTGCATAATGTTGTACTTTACATTTCAGTTGCTTTTGATGTAGAAATAAATACTTGGCTTTAAGACAAAAGCAAGCTATACAGCTTGTACCTGTGCTATTGAATTCTAGCAGATCTTTTAAAAAATTCAATTTTAGACAGAACTTGTCGATATTTTTGTGTTCTATGTGAATCGTTCACTATTTCTTTCTAACTGCAAATTCTTCACACTTAATTTTGTAAGGAGAAAGATGGCACAGAAATGAGGATGAAACTAGTTTCTGTTTAATTTGACTGTTTTAGCAACTACAAGTCTTAACTACACAAGTCTTCAATCTTCCTCCAGCCTCTAACCTACTGTTGTTTCACAGAATCCCAGAATTGTCTGGATTGGGAAAGCCCTTTAAGGTCATCGAGTCCAACCATGAACCCAACACTGACAAGTCCCCTATGACTAACCCATGTCCCCAGGCACTAGTTCTACACGAGTCTTCAATCCCTCCAGGGATGGGGACTCCACCACTGCCCTGGGCAACCCCTTCCAATGCCTCAGAACCCTTTCAGCAAAGAAATTCTTCCTCACATCCCATCTCAACTGCCCTGGCCACAACTGGAGCCCATTTCCTCTTGTCCTGTCCCTTGGGCCTTGGTTGAACAGACCCCCCCCCACCTCTCTCCACCCTCCTCCAAGGGACTTGACCAGAGCCAGAAGGTCTCCCCTCAGCCTCCTTTTCTCCAGGCTCAACACCCCCAGTTCCCTCAGCCACAAGGGAACTCAGCACACTTGTGCTCCAGACCCTTCCCCAGCTCCGTTGCCCTTCTCTGGACACGCTCCAGCCCCTCCATGTCCTTCTTGGAGTCAGGGGCCTAAAACTGAACCCAGCACTCAAGGTGCAGCTTCACCAGTGCCCAGGACAGGGTTTCAGATGAGGTTGTAGCAGGCTGTTTTAGGGAAGAATGCTTGATCTGTTTTTGGTTTTGTCGGGGGTGTTTTTTTATAGGTATGGAATTCTGTTGGTATCATTCGCTGTTACAATGATGAACAAGACAATGCTATAGATGTAGAATTTCATGATACCTCCATACATCATGCAACACACCTGCCAAACTCTCTGAATCACACGATGGCTGACCTCTCCACTGAAGCTATTTTACTAGCCTGTGAGAGTACAGAGGAACTTGCAAGGTAAGTCATGGCCTTGCTCTGCAAAACCCGTAGTATGGAATTACACTTGGCTTGTTTCAAATATTTGGGCTTTTAATTACAGCTTCTTCACTTTTTAAGATTTTTTTGCTTTTGATCGTAGTCTTTATTTATGGGACCACTTTTGAGGAGGATTTTCACACTCGCCCACTTGAAGACTTCAAGAATACTGAAAGATGTATTTTGTTTCCTGAGGATTTTTTTAAATCCCTTTTTCAAATATATATATGGACTGGAAACGTCATGCATTGCTAGTTCAAAGGCAATTGTAAACATGAACAATAGTTTTTCAATCTGCTCAACTCAAAGATAAATTGTAAAGGTTATGCTATTTCTTTTCATACTGTTGCTAAGGAGACATGTTTGGAGATACCCAAAGGATTAGAAGTGTGAAGAACACAAGTTTATGAAAACCAAAGAAAGATTTAAGCAGCTGGGCCAGCTAGACTTTGTTCTTGCACTTAAGAACAATAGCAACAATATTTTATTGACAATTTCTGTGGAAATACCTTGAAGAAAGAACTTTCTTTTTATTTTCACATGTACAATGTTGTGATAAGTTGAAAGCACTTTTTCCATTTAAAGAAAAGAAAATTAACTGTATCCTAGCAAAAAAATCAGGACAAAAGGTATTATTGGTATGTACTGGTTATCTGACTCTGAAAATGTCATTTTTTTTTTTTCCTCAGTTGAAGTGGGTAATGTATCAAAAGCTGTGGTGTCTGTGAATTGGTCATTTGCAGTTCTGTTAAGATGGCAGAACAGAAATTCCTAATTTTTTTTCCCTTTGAAAGATAGCAAAATATGCTAGACTTGTAATGAGGGCTGATATTCAGGGCTAACGAGCACCTTCAGCTTTTATTAATGTTAATTAAGCAGGACACATACCTGTTTCTATCTAAAATAAAAAATATCTTTCCTCAGACCTCTAAACTGTCTCTGCTTCAGGCTTTAGAGGCTCTGAATCTACGGTGCTGGAGGTCGAGCTGGCTCTTCAGTTCTTGAATAATAAGAGTAACACCTTTGCAAATGATCACTTATAATTCTACAGAAAGCTGGGGAAGGACTTTTCATAAGGGCAGTTAATGACAAAACAAGGGGAAATGGGTTTAAGCTGAAAGAGCGAAGGTTTAGATGAGATGTGAGGAAGAAGTTCTTCACTGTGAGGGTGGTGAGACACTGGAACAGGTTGCCCAAGGAAGTTGTAGATGCCCCCTCCCTGGAAGTGTTCTCGGCCAGGCTGGATGAGGCTTTGAGCAACCTGGTCTAGTGGAAGGTGTCCCTGCTGCTGGCAGGGGGGTTGGAACTGGATGAGCTTTCAGGTCTCTTCCAACCCAAACCATTCTGTGATACTATGATTCTGTGATTCTATTGTTACTTTCTATGACCTTCACAGATTCCCAGTTTCTGATAAAAACATAATATATTGGTATATTTTTCACATATTGTCTTTTTCTTCATGTTGAGATGTTTGACTTTTGTTCTTTTGTCTCTCCTTTAGCAAGCTCCACTGCATTCATTTTAGCTCGTGGGATACAAACAAGGAGTGGACAGTAGACATGCCAAAGGATGAAGACATTGAGGCTATCTGTCTAGGTCAAGGCTGGGCTGCTTGTGCCACGAGTGCCTTGCTCGTTCGTGTTTTTACCCTTGGAGGAGTTCAGAAAGAGATCTTCAGTCTCCCAGGCCCAGTGGTGTCTATGGCAGGACATGGAGAGCAGTTGATGATTATGTATCACAGAGGTAGTTTTCTCCCTTCCATCTTTTTTGAACTGGGGTTATGTTTTCAATCCTTGTCTGTTACTGACTTCAAACACCAATTAATTTGTATGTAATATGTAAAAATATAAGTATTTTACTTACCCTCCTTCTTCTTTTCTTTTTGGTGATGCTTATCCTTCTTCTTGATGATTCTTTTACTGTCACAACCCTCAGATCTTTGACATCTGACAGCAGAACCTACATTTTACATTGAGATGCCTGGATTAACCTGTGGGGAAAGGGAGAATTTTATAACAGTGACATTAAACTCAGGTTTCAGATATCCCAGAATTAATTACTATAGGAAATTAAGGAAGTAGTTGTTATGCATGCTTTGTATGTCCAAAATGACAGATAGTTGCTTGTCTGACAGCAGTATTCATGGATAACCCTGTATTAGAATTAGTTTTTTATTCAAAACTTAAATTTAACCAAGAGACAAGACAGTTCTTTTGTTTTCTAACATAGTCATTGAACATCATCTTCCCAGGTACTGGGTTTGATGGGGACCAGTGTCTCGGAGTACAGCTGATGGAGCTAGGAAAAAAGAAAAAGCAGATTTTGCACGGAGACCCTCTTTCTCTGACAAAAAAGTCCTATTTGGTGTGGGTTGGATTCTCTGCAGAAGGTATGAAATACCTGCGTGAGTGATGTTGAGAAATCTCCACACTGTTGGGGGAATTTTGGAGGAGAGTTTGGCTAATTAATACCCTTTTAGTAATGGTCTGGAGCAGCTAGAACAAGTCCAGAGGAGGCCACCAGGATGATGCGAGGGCTGGAGCAGCTCTGCTGTGAGGACAGGCTGAGAGAGTTGGGGCTGTTCAGCCTGAAAAAGAGAAGGCTCCGGGGAGATCTTATAGCGGCCTCCCAGTACCTGAAGGGGCTACAAGAAAGCTGGGGAGTGACTTTTCATAAGGGCAACTGATGACAAAACAAGGGGAAATGGGTTTAAGCTGAAAGAGGGGAGGTTTAGATGAGATATTAGGAAGAAGTTCTTCACTGTGAGGGTGGTCAGACACTGGAACAGGTTGCCCAGAGAAGCTGTGGCTGCTCCTCCCTGGAAGTGCTGAAGGCCAGGTTGGATGAGGCTTTGAGCAACCTGGTCTAGTGGAAGGTGTCCCTGCTGCTGGCAGGGGGGTTGGAACTGGATGAGCTTTAAGGTCCTTTCCAACCCCAACCAGTCTGTGATTCTATGATCTTGGGACCTAGACTTTTTTTTGTCTCCTCAACACTAAACAAAATTCTATTTTTCTATTCTTTCAATATATTTATCAGAAATCTTTAATATGTTTCTACTATGAATAGAGTACACTCGAATGTTACCAGAACTTGGTATGCCAACAGGTTGACCTGCTCAGCAAAAGAAATAAACTACATTAGAACACCATAACAGACAGGTTCAACTATCTTGGCAAAAGCCTCCCCCAAAAAGTTGGTAGCTTGGGAGGAGTTTTTATGATAACCAGAAAAAGTAATTTTAAAACAGTTAACTTCGAGAATCTACCCAGGTATTATGAACTTGATTTCTTCATAAAATGTTTTAGATTTGAACTTGTCAGTTAACTGCCCGGAGTGTTGTCTGTCAGAAGGTGGCGCATCTCTCTAAGGAAACCAGTTTTTCCCAGCTAGGTTGTGCTGTTTGGGTGAGAGGATGTCCTATTTGGGATAGTAAATCACAGAGTCACAGAATATTAGGGATTGGAAGGGACCTCGAAAGATCATCCAGTCCAATCCCCCTGCCAGAGCAGGAACCTAAATGAGATCACACAGGAAGGTGTCCAGGCGGGTTTTGAATGTCTCCAGAGAAGGAGACTCCACACCCTCCCTGGGCAGCCTGTCCCAGGGCTCTGTCACCCTCACTGGAAAGAAGTTTCTTCTCAAGTTTAAGCAGAACCTCCTGTGTTCCAGCTCACACCCATTGCCCCTTGTCCTACCATTGGGCATCACTGAGAAGAGCCTGGCTCCATCCTCCTGACATTCACCCTTAACATATTTATAAACATTAATGAGGTCACCCCTCAGTCTCCTCTTCTCCAAGCTAAAGAGCCCCAGCTCCCTCAGCCTTTCCTCAGCAGGGAGATGCTCCACTCCCTTCACCATCTTGGTGGCTCTGTGCTGGACTCTCTCCAGCAGTTCCCTGTCCTTCCTGAACTGTATCCACCAGTTTAAGCTTTAGCTGCCTGTCACAATAATTGATTTAATTTGTAATGAAACAGGTACCCCTTGTTACATGGATTCCGAGGGAATCGTGCGGATGTTGAACCGAGGATTTGGGAATACTTGGATTCCGGTGTGTGACACCAGAGAGCATTGCAAAGGAAAATCTGATCATTATTGGGTTGTTGGCATCCATGAAAACCCCCAGCAGCTCAGGTCAGATACTTCACAAGGAAATGCTTTGTTCCTCTTGGTTTTAATTTATAGAGCACTTCTTACTATGCAAAACTAGAAACAACTTTCATTAAAACAACTGGCTAGTAGATGTGCACAGTAAGTGATCTAGTTAATAAATTTAGTTCTACATGAATGTTTAATTACTAAATTGTTTTTGAATGAACTCATTAGAGTGTTGTGATGTGTAAGTGACTAATTGTGGCTTTTTGCCTTGGCTAACAGATGTGTGCACTTTGATAGGAGATCCCATCTCTGATGCAGACGCATTCATAAGGCTGCATTTTGCTAGATAAACCTACTGAAAAGTTATGGTTGCTGTTAGGAATCTACTTCTACTGTTCGTGGTTTGGGGGAGGTGGGGTTTTTTGGTTTGTTTTGGGTTTTTTGGTATTTTTGCTTAGCTATATTTCCCACTTTTGTCCCTTGAGAAGAATCCAGTCCTGTAACTAATCTACATCATTAGGCATAGATAAATCAGAGCTGTCTATCGTTATATTAATATTTAAACTGTGTCCATGAAGAACCATTTTGTATGTAATATTGCTCACATATTTAGCTGAGAGTTAGCCATTCCTTTATAAAATGTAGTGGTGATGTTTAAATAACTCTGTTTCTCTGTATTGTAACAAGCATCCTCAGTCTTTAGTTAATAAGCTTTGTTTGTAGTCCTCTTTATTCAGTGATTCCTACCAGGGCAGAATCCATCAGCTTGCACATTTTACTGAAATTTAGGCTCTTTTCCTTTGCTAGTCATGCACAGTTGTAGAGCTTGGTGGGAGACTGCATTTTATTTAAATTTCTGTGAAATTGTTTGTAATCCTCTGGGGTTTTTTTTTAATAAGAGAATGATTTGCTATCACTGGTGAATGTCAATTCACTGTCTGTTTCTTCCTCCAAATCACTAAGTAATGTTGGCCTCCAGAAAACACACCAAAAATGTGCAGCACACATCACATGGATGGGATGGTCAACTGTGAGTTTGCCATCGTGGGTTTTTCCTTCTACTCTGAGAAAGATAGTGCTGCTCTCCGAGTTGCAACAAATGTTTTATTCAAAGCCACTAGCATATTAAAGATAAGAAGGGGAGAGGGCTGTTGTAGAAACACCATGTGCCTTAATTAACACAGATAACCAGAACACTAATACTTCCTGTTCTCTCTCTTTTTTTTTCCCTAGTGTCTGACACAGTAGCTTATAAAACCAGACATTTTTGTCGATGCTGCCTTGGTGCTGCTGGAAATACAGCTCTTCCCCCAATCAATGTTTTGCTTAAGTGATTGTTACCAGAAAGCACTAGTTTAAATATAATGGAATAATAAGCTTATGCTTTTAGTGTTTTTAGTGTATGCTTATCTGTTTTACCCCACTCTCTTTTCTTTTTTTTTCTTATTTTTTTTCCCTGTGTGTGTCTGAACACAGCACTCTCCACACAAAGTCCAAAATCCCTCGTCAAAATAAATGGTAGATGTGGCTGCTCTTTTTTTCCAGTGGCCTTCAATTGTTCAGTACTTCCTAATTTGAATAAATTGCATTTATGTTTTGTAATAGCTGTTAAATCACATGTTGTGTGAGATAGAGATCTGTGTCTGTTATATGCCACGTTTGGAGTTGCTTGTGTGAACAAGAACAGTGTGAGCTTTGCTGGTTTAAAAATCTTTAATTGGTTGCAATGTAAAAATAACCCTTTCTAATGCAATCTTACATATTGCTATACTTAAGGCAGTAATTTAATTATTACTTTTTAAAGAACAAATCTTCTTAAGGTATCTTGCTTTTTAGGAGACGTGCTTTAGATGTGGAACAACTGGTGACTGCAGGTGATGAGGACTGGATGTGTTTTTTGTTTCCCTTCCACAGGTGTATTCCTTGTAAAGGAGCCCGATTCCCTCCTACACTCCCACGACCTGCTGTAGCAATATTATCTTTTAAACTTCCTTACTGTCAAGTTACAACAGAAAAGGGACAGATGGAGGTATGGAATAGTGTTGAGTCCACAGCTGATAGTCTCAGCTGTCCCCATAGTAGGGATTATACAAGATTCCTATTAATCATCTCTTACTATGAAAGAGGGTGGTACAAACTCTGAGTAAGATGTGTGGCTAAGGAGGTTATTTGGGTTCAGTGTTTTGTACAGCTTTTCTGGTTTGGTTTGGTTTGTTTCACAACTGTTTCTAGAAGAATACAAAATAAAACTGTTAGAGTTGATGCAAGGTTTTATTTATACATAATCTATTTCTGACCAATCTTTCTATCCTTTTTTTTTAAATTATTTTTATTTTTTAATGGGTAGTGATAATGTTCTAGGAAGCACCACATTTTGAGATCCAAATCAAGACCCTCTCGAAGGCACCTGTTTTTTAATATCTTAAACATAACAAAATTTCTGGAAGGTCTTTTTTTGGAAGATGTACTAAGTGCTCTAATTCATACCATCACTCTGAAAAGATAGGCCTTCAGGCTTGACTTATTTTCTTAAGGTAGAAGCTGGTTGAAGCAAGATGTACTTGCAGAGAACTTCTAGAAGAATATCTCTAATATCTCTATTTATTCTTCAATTTTTTTAATAGGTTTAAATATTTCAATCTTCAGGGATTCATCCATAGTGCACGAAATAGAAATGAACCCAAAATTTGAACCTCAACCTTAGACACAGTTTAATGCTATTTGAAATTTATTCTCTTTGATAGAAGTGTAGATTAAAAGTTTCAATAGTAAACACTTGGTCATTTTTTAATGAATTCTCCTTCATTTGCTTCAAGTTTTTATGTTCTTTATCTGAGGGGGTATGATTTCCAACCCCAAAAAATAATCAAAGGAAAATGACAGGAACTATTAATTTAGCTTGAGGGCATATGTACTTCTGTGTAGGCAAAGAAACAGAATATTCCAATACATCTGATGAAAACATACTGGTTTTTAATAAGTTTATAGTTATTTTGTAGCAGAGTTAGCCTGGTTTAATAAGCTATACTACATAGCCTGAACAACAAGAGTTCTGTGTTCTGATTACCTGTCTCACAGATGATGATTACTCTTACAGTTACTGAGTTATTCTGAAATGCTTTCAATTTGCTGTGGGACAGAAATTTATAAGATAAAATGATCAGCTTTTTCTAGAATTGACTGTCTTGGTAGCA